CACAGACTACAATGGAACTCTTATTCAATAGGGTCTCAAAAGGAGCAACCAAGCATATTCAAGGGGCATTGTGGAACTTTTCTGGGGAGGGTCTGTCACCTGCTTGTTATGGAGATGCCATTGCTCTGCCTGGAATGTTCCACAGTATGACTTTAAACAGCTCTACTTACAGGTGCATTACAATGTTAGAATGTTGTTACCTTATCAAAAACAAACGTGGAGTATTGCTGTGTTTTGTCTCATTCACACATTTCCTTCCTTTATTTTTACTCTGTCTTCAGCTCCAAAGATCTGGACCACCTTGTGAGGTCATTAAGTGGGAGTTTTCAACTTAACAGCTGCATTTTACCTTTAGTGCAGTAGAAGTAGGCAATTCCACTTCCTGTATTAAATATGCAGGGTTTGTACGTGAATGAAACAAAACACTGGTGTTGTTGTCAAGAGCGCACTAATCGAGACCAAGACCTGTCCGAGACCACAGGGCCCCGAGACCAGGACAAGACCAAGACCTCTGAGGGTCAAGACCAAGATAAGACCAAGACTTTTAAAGGTCGAGACTGAGACAAGATCGAGACCACAGCCAATCGAGACCAAATCTAAACCAGATTTGTAATTTTTTTTATTTGGGTCTTACAGTTATTTTGGCACATTTATATCAGTGTTTTTATAAATCTATCTCCATTTGATCACTTGTCGAGTGTCGGACTTTGAGACCAAGACAAGATAGAGTCCAAACAGCTTCAAGACCGAGACAAGACCGAGTCCAAGCGCCTTCAAGACTGAGACAAGACGGAGTCCATGCGCCTTCAAGACTGAGACAAGACCAAGTCCATGCGCCTTCAAGACTGAGACAAGACGGAGTCCAAGCACCTTCAAAATCGAAACAAGACCAAGTCCAAGCTCCTTCAAGACCGAGACAAGACCGAGTCCAAGCTCCTTCAAGACTGAGACAAGACCAAGTCCATGCGCCTTCAAGACTGAGACAAGACCGAGTCCAAGCTCCTTCAAGACCGAGACAAGACCGAGTCCAAGCTCCTTCAAGACTGAGACAAGACCAAGTCCAAGCTCCTTCAAGACTGAGACAAGACCAAGTCCATGCGCCTTCAAGACTGAGACAAGACCGAGTCCAAGCTCCTTCAAGACCGAGACAAGACCGAGTCCAAGCTCCTTCAAGACTGAGACAAGACCAAGTCCAAGCTCCTTCAAGACTGAGACAAGACCAAGTCCAAGCGCCTTCAAGACTGAGACAAGACGGAGTCCAAGCGCCTTCAAGACCGAGACAAGACTGAGCCAAGACCGAGACAAGACCAAGTCCAAGCACCTTCAAAATCGAAACAAGACCGAGTCCAAGCGCCTTCAAGACTGAGACAAGACCGAGTCCAAGCTCCTTCAAGACCGAGACAAGACCGAGTCCAAGTGCCTTCAAGACGGAGACAAAACCGAGACAAGACCAAGTCTGACACTGGCAAGTCTGGTAAGCACTGTTAAATCTTAATTATTTAGATTATGACGAGAGAAAAGTAGCATATTCACAATTTTGTTGTCTTCCACAAAATATCGTTATAAATATCGTACCGTGAGATGCATATCTTGAAAATATTGTATTGAGAGATTTGGATATCGTTACATCCTTAACAGCTATAATAGTCACTTCTTCATTCAGCTCAAATATTATTGTACTACAATCAAAATAGTCCAAATCTCCCTCCATTTGCTAAGAAAATGTACACATGCTACAGCGAGACACTGTGATCAATTATAATGACACTTTATAGACAAAAATGCAAGAGAATCCTAGTAAAGTATTTTTAAAACAGATCAATAACAGAATCAACCAATAGCCATAAAAGTCACAACCTTCTACAGCTCAAATATTATCGTATTACAACAAAAATAGCCCAGATCTTTCTCCAGTAGCTAAGAAAATGTGCACACGATAAATACAGAGCACCAAAATAACACTGTATATTATTATTCCTACATTTATATATTGAATGAAAGTTAATATAGTCATTATTAGGGATGTAAAAATAACCGAAATATCCTGAATACCGTGTCGTCAAATGTCTCACAATAATCGTGGGTTATCGCAATTTATCGGGTTACAAGTTTCTTTCTTTTTGCACCATAACAGTTAATTTAAGCAGAGAGACATAAAACAGACTACATAGACCATGATCCTTTGCTTTGGTTTAGTCCAATGAACATGATGAAGTAGCAGTTATTAATAGGGATGTAACGATATCCAAATCTCACGGTACGATATTTATTGCGATATTTTGAAGAGGTTGATATAATTGTAGATGGGACACTTTTTTGCTTTTAAAATACCTTGACAAGATTTTGGTGTGAATTATTTCTGTCATAATCCCAAAAATTCAAGTAAAAAAAACAATAAATTCCTGTTGTTTGCACTGAAATGAATCATGGGATATGTAGTTTTCAATGTTCATGAGCTGTTGCAACTATAAAACCATGTATTTAAGCAAAAGAACTTGAAATTCGATATATTGTGAGACTTTTGACGATACGATATCACAATATTTCAGTTATTGTTACATCCCTATTTATTAAACATTTTTACATCTTAATTATTTGCATTATGAAAATCTCACAGATGATTTATACCGTGAAAATATCGTATCGAGACCATCCCGTTTAGAGATCATCCCTAGTAATTACTGTGGCCTCGTTAGGAGTGAATGAGTCAGACCAAAAGAATCAGCTCAGAACAAAGACGTACTGCTCACAAAATGGACATGGAGCTTCTGCACGTCGCCTTACAACAGGAGGATGTGGCTCTATGCAGTATGCAAATGTGTGGGAGTGTAAAATGGGTCACCTGTAACCTCTGTAACCTGTCGACTACTGCAGGGCAACATGGCAAAACGAAAAAGACAATGAAAAATGATGTATTAAAAGGTGCATTATTGTGTAACTTTTCTGGTAGAGTCTGTCAAGTGCTTTTCCCGTGGAAATGTTATTGCTTTGTCTGGAATGTTTCGCAGTTTGGCATTAAAGCTTTCCATCTTCACGGAGACCAAACCAGGCCAAGTTATAGGTCAGGTCTGTGCGGAGGCGACCCCGCTCACAGTCAGAATACCTGTTTTTCTAGGTATTTTAGAGCATTAACATCACCTGTAGTTGATTAAATATAAACCAGAGCTGTTCATACTATGGAACATTTCAAGCGTAGGAAGTTACACAATGCACCTTTAACTTATGTGTATCTAAGCTAGGGTTGTCAAAAGTAGGGGTGCAAGAAAAATATCGATTGATTGATGTATCATGATACTTCACCACACAATTCTCGAATCGATTCAAAATTCTTCTGAATAGATTTTTAAAAAATTATATTTTTAATATATTTTTATTAATTACATTTACTTTTCTGATGATTTAAACATATTTATAAATTATATTTTGTACAATTATGTTCTCATGAAGGTGTAGCTGACTGTATTGTTAGAAGCAATTATTGATAAATCTCAATATTTCAACCATTATTTTATTATCGGGTTATATCGTGACATATTGATTTGTGACATGCATATCATGATATGTATTGTACTGTCAAATTTAAGGCAATACACAGCCCTAGTCAAAAGTGTCGAAAATCAGACACCATCCATCCACTGATCCAGTTGATAGTTACTCAAATATTCTCATACAGTATCTTGTTTTGATACTTCGTTTTAGTAATATCGGTACTAAAAAAGTCACATTCACAGGACAGACATGAAGCTTTCCTAAAGAGCTTTAGGATCTTGAGTTGTATCAGAACAAGTAAAACTCCTCCACCGCTCTAAACTTTCTGTAGTTCATCATGAGTCATTCCCGGAGCTCCTGGTGTTTACGTGACTGTAGCGGTTTTAAAGAACCTATTTTGAAAGGGCATCAGAAGTATATTTTGAAACTATGTGCTTATTTCCTGTGTTTCCCGCTAAACGCTCTGTGACGCTTGACACTCTGATGTGCTTTACAGCTTCCAAAGCAGTAACACAATGTGGTTTGTGCAAAAATACACAAATATTGATATATCTTATTGTTTAATCTGATAATATAGTATTGATATCGTGGGCTGTTGTATCGACAAGAGTTTTTTGTGGTATATTTTACTCAATTATTTTGTTACAGTTACAGTTTTGTTGCTTGTTCAGAGGAAGGAAACTTGTTTATGCAACACATCTGACATTTTCACTATTTTGATGAGTAAAATGTTTGTGTTTCATATGAAATTTGCACAAGAAGTGGTTTCACAAAGACTTTTAGTGCCACAGCTACAATATCCTCTATTTTTTATTTAACCATATCGAATCCAAAGTGCACTATAGGGAGATATGTGTCGTATCACGGCCTATGTATCAAGGTATGTATTGTATCGTGGCTTATGTACCGAGGTATGCATCATATTGTGGCTTATTTATCAAAGTATGTATCGTATTGTGGCTTATGTATCAAGCTTTGTATCGTATCATGGCCTATGTATCGAGGTATGTATCATATCGTGGCTTATGTATCGAGGTATGTATCGTATCATGGCCTATGTATCGAGGTATGTATTGTATCAGGGCCTATGTATCGAGGTATGTATCGTATCATGGCCTATGTATCGAGGTACGCATTGTGGCCTATGTACAGAGGTATGTATCTTATTGTGGCCTATGTATCGATGTATGTATCATATCGGCAACTTCTTAATGATACCCAGCCCTAAATGCAATATAGTATTAAACCTTTCTGTTTTCATAACGGAACAAACCAGACTGAGTTACAGGTCAGATCTGTGGAGAGGCAACCCTAATCACAGTCAGTTTTTCTAAGTATTTCTGAGCTATAAAACCACATGCAGATGACGAACCCCCAACCAAAAATGTACATACACTTTTAATGTCTTTCCTATTCTGTAAAGCACTTTGCATTACTTTGTGCGTGTATTATAAAGTGAATTAGGAACACTTCTCTGCTGTGAGGATGCGAGGGCACAGTTCAGGACTCACCACACGACCCCGAAGGCCCCGTACCCAATGGGGCGGTCAGGCTCTATGTCGAGTTGAGGCTGCAGGTGGTGGTGGTGGTGATGGTGGTGGTGGGCTTTGACCGACGCCGCCTGCACCTGGGCGGGGGCGGCTGCGGCGGCGGGCCCCGGAGCCTGTCCCGGGGCCGGAGAGGGGAAGTACGGCTGCTGCTGCCCGGGGTTCAGCATGACCGCAGCAGCCCCAGTGGACGTGTGCTGCTGCAGGGAGTGGACAGCCGCCGCCGAGCCAGGAGCCTGGAGCAGAGGGACCAGCAGAGGTTAATGTTAGTCCATTTTCTGATACATGTTCTAATGTTGTTTCCATATCACAAACAGACCTGGAGTTGTGTTTTGTTTCATTCACACACGTTTAACACACAAACCCTGCACATTTAGGTTCAGTTCGTCTCACAAACGGAGGAACACTCTCTTAGGAAGTGGTCCACTGCATTTTTAAACTCCATACACCTTCACTAGAATCATTAAGATTATTTAGCCCTCCCTAAATGTGCACTATGTAACTTTCTGGTTGTGGATTCGTCACCTGCTTGTTTCTATGGATATGTCATTGCCTGGAATGTTCCACAGTGTGACATTAAACAGCTTTACTTTACATTATTCAATCATAGGTGGTTTTATAGCTTAAAAAATAAAATGGAAAAACTATACCTAGAAACAAACATACCAAAAATACCTAGAAAAACAGACATTCTGAGTGTGAGCGGGGTCGCCTCTCCATAGATCTGACCTGTAACTCGATCTGGTTTGGTCTCTATGAAGATGGAAAGGTTTAATGTCATACTGTGAAACATTCCAGATACAGCAATAACATCTCCATGGAGAAACAAATTTGATGCAACCTTCACCAGAAAAGTTACACAATGCACTAAGGATGTAACAATAACCAAAATATCGTGATGTCGTATCGTCAAAAGTCTCACAATAATATCTTGGGCTGTCATAATATATCAATCATAAGTTCCTTTGCTTAAATGCACGGTTTTATTGTTGCAACAATTTATAAACATTGGGAACTACATATCCCATGATTCATTTCAGTGCAGACAATATGAAGAACTATGTTTTTACTTGAATTATTGGGATTATGACAGTAATAATTCACACCAAACTTTTGCCAATTATATCAGCTTCTTCAAAATATCGCAATAAGTATCGTACCATGAGATACATATCGTGATAATATTGTATCGAGAGATTTGGATATCGTTACATCCTCACAACGCACCTTTAACTACTGCTATATGACATCACAAGGAGGAACAGAGCATTCTGAGCTTTGGAAATGTAGACAGACTAATAATAAAGGGTTACTCAAACATGTGAATGAAAAAAAAAACAACTCCAGGTCTGTTTTTGTGGAGGTAACAACATTCTAACATGGCTTAAAGCTCACAAGAGTCCATTTTTGTGTAATATAGAAGCTTTAAGAATAAGACAAAGATACAACGAAAATTATAATAACAAAGAGAAAAAATATATAAAATGATAATAATAAATTCAAAATAAGTGGCAAACAATGGTGTCAAATAAGGCATAATTATATAAATGTAAAAATTTTAAAAAAGTAAAAATAATACACAGAAATATAGTAATACAAAAATATCTACATACAGGAGGTCGTAAGGAGAAAAAGAGCAAAAACAAAAAAATAAGGAAGCACTAGCAGAAAGAGACGTCACTGTAAGGCTGAATCACGTTGCTTCAGAAATTCTTGCGAATGAAACAAAACTAAATGGGTATTAAATAATAGGGTTGGGCAAAAAAATATGAGTGACTGTTAGTGTTTGATGACTTAGCAATTTTTGAGTATTTTTTTTTTATTTTTGTTTTGTAAAATATCAAAATTGGAGTGTGGAATTTGTACAGCAGTGTTGTGTTGATATATGCACTACAGTTTTGCATTCTTTATCAATATAGTATTTTTAAAAAAAGTATATTTTTCATTAATTTTTCAAATAGACTCTTCAAAAAATTCTAATATTAAGAGTTCTGAGACATTGTGGAGGCTAACGAGCTACATGCTAACTATTATCCAAAATGCTTTAACAGATACAAATAAACACATACACATAAATAAAAAATAAAATACATTAATAAACACAATGAAAGGTTTTGTGGTCATTAGTTCCCATGTAGCTGATCAGCTCTGAGCTTTCAAACTTTAAATATTCATTTTTTTAGAGAATATATGAGAAAAATGAATGAGGAAATCAGTTTTGTAGCTTTGTATTGGACATAAATGGACCTGTTTCTATTATTAAACCATTTTGTAGAGTTTTATTTTATAGTTTAAAGGTTCTATATTACACAAAACTGACTCTTGTGAGCTTTAAGTTGTGTTAAAATGTTGTTACATCCTCAAAAACAGACCTGGAGTTGTGTTTTGTTTCACTGTTTGTTTGCGTAAACCTGCATTATTAGTCTATCTACATCTCCAAAATGCTCTGTTCCACCTTGTGATGTCATGAAGCGGTAGTTTCATGAAAGAAGTCACTTTTTACTAGGGCTGGGTATCATTAAGAAGTTGCCGATATGATACATACCTCGATACACAGACCACGATACAATACATATCTCAATACAGTGCACTTTTGATTCGATATGATATATTTCAAATTGATTCAATACGGTTCGATAAAAAATAAAGTCTAAATCATGGCTGTGATACTAAAAGTTTTGTTAAACCACTTCTTGTGCAAAGTTCATATGAAACACACCCATTTTAATCATCAAAACAGTGAAAATGTCGACTGTGTTGCATAAACGAGTTTCCTTCCACTAAACAAGCAACAAAACTGTAGCACTGTAACAAAATAACTTGGTAAATATACAAAAAAAATACTCTTGGCGATATATCGATATTTTTGTACACCTCTACTTTTTACCTTTTGACATCGGCTATTCCAGGGCTGAAATTATCCAAATAATTCTAGTGAAGGTGTGTGGATTTTAAAAACACAGTGGAGCACTTCCTGTATTACCACATGACATCACAAGGTGGAACAGCATGTTTTCTGTTTCTGAGAAGAAATCAGCCTAAATGTGCTGGGTCTGTGTGTTAAACATGTGAATGAAACAAAACACAACTTAAAAATCGACCCAAAAATCACAGTTTCTTCTCTCAATATTTGTATACGAGTAGTTTGTGAGTGTATTACCTGCAGGGGGTGCTGTGGTGCATGGTGGTGCGGCAGGTGCGGTCCTGGCAGGTGCTGCAGTTGGTGGTGATGGTGAGCCACAGCTGAAGATCCTCCGCTGTACGCCGCCATCGCCCCACACAGAGCCATGTACCAGAGAGGGGCTCAGAGCTACGAGACCACCCAGACAACTGCGGCAGGGACAGGCAGGGACAGACAGGGACAGACAGGGACAGACAGGGGAGAGAAATCAGATAACTGGAGTAATCAGATAACCCAACAATTTCATGTGATTACTGGAGTGCGCATCATGACAGCAAATTTTAAAGGTTCTATATTAACTAACTTTTCTGGTGGAAATATTATTGCTTTGTCTGGCATTAAACCTTTCTATCTTCATGGAAACCAATCAGACAAAGTTACAGGTCAGATCTGTGGAGCGGCGACTCTGCTGACAGTCAGAATGTCTCTTTTTCAAGACATTTTTGAGCTTTAAAACCACCTGTACTTGAATAAATATAAGGTAGAGCTGTTTAATGTCACACTGTGGAACATTCTAGGCAGAGCAATGACGTATCCATAGAAACAAGCAGGTGACGGACCCTCCAAGCAGAATAGTTACACAGTGGATCGTTCATTTATAAACCCAGACTTTCCCACTATCCCCCATGGTAAATATTTACCCCCTAAAAAGTACTGTTCCATCTGTCATGTAGTGAACAATAAGTGGACATAGTATAGTATGTGTATAGTACAATGTGTGTACTAGTATTTCAAACTTGATTTTTGAGTTATTTCCAGATCGGGTCCATGGTAAAGTACTGTCCACAGAGTTTCAACCATCAAACTCAATTTTGATAATATGGATGAATGCATTCACACTTGGTCCTGGTTTGGTCTTGGTTTGGTCTTGGTTTGGTCTTGGTTTGGTCTTGGTTTGGTCTTGGTTTGGTCTTGGTTTGGTCTTGGTTTGGTCTTGGTTTGGTTCTAGTTTTGTCCTAGTTTGGTCCTGGTTTTGTCCTGGTTTGGTGATTTAGTCCCGTTTTGGTCCCATATTGGTCTTGGTTTGGTCCTAGTTTTGTCCTGGTTTGGTGATTTGGTCTTATTTTGATCCGTTTTGGTCCCAGTTTGGCCCCAGGTTGGCCCCAGGTTGGCCCCAGGTTGGCCCCAGGTTGGTGATTTGGTCCTGTTTTGGTCCTGGTTTTTGTTCCTAGTTTTGTCCTAATTTGGTCATGGTTTTGTAATTTGGTCCTGGTTTGGTCCCGGTTTGGTCCAGATCAATGACCTATCCTCAGAAACAAGCAGGTGACAGACCCCCAACCAAAAAGTGACACATCACAGCTTTAACGTATGCACCGGCGTGAAGGAGCAGAGATCTGATCGCTCTCGTCACATGTCACCGTTTCCATGAAATTTCAAATAATCTGACAACTGCAGAAATCAGATGCCCCGTCAGGCTGTGGGCGCCTCCAGTTCACTAAAAGCTAATGACTCATTTGACTACTCATTTACTTAGTTAAGAACAGTCTATTTCAGATTTTTGCAAAAACATTTTCACTTGTTTTCCTAATATGACCATTTTTTAGGTTTAAAATTTGAGTTTCTGGTTGGAAATTGTGACACCACACAAGGGTTACTTAGCATAACTCTTCTAATGTACACAGAAATTATTGACAAATATGAGTACAAATACAAGAAACACATTTAATTCAACAAAATAAATGTGGTTTCTTGTGTCAGACTTTTGAACAGACTTCTCCCTAGAATTATGTCATCAGTATACTTAAGAATTTGAACTGTCCACTTCTGTCATTTTCAACATATTTGTCAACTTTTCTTCAGAAACTGCTTCTCAATTTGTGTAAAACTATCATTTATATTTAAAATGTTTATAATCCCACCAAATTATGTCAAAATTAAAATAATTTAATTTAATTTTTGAATTTTTAACACATACAGGTGCGGTGAGGAACTTTTCTGGTAGGAGGTCTGTACTTCTGTACTGTATGTCGCTTAGAATGTCCCGCAGTATGGCATTAAACTAGTAATATCTCCGTGAAGACATAATCAGACCAAGGTACAAGTCAGATCAATGGAATGGCAATCCCACTTACAGTAAGCGTGTTTTCGAAGTATGTTTGAGCTATAAAAACACCTGTTATGAAACGATTGTTAGAAAGAAAATCATTTAATGCAATATTGTGGAAGATTCCCAGCAAAGCAATAACATCTCCATGGAGACAAAACGGTAGTGTACCCTTCATCGATAAAGTTACATGGTGCAACTTTAAGTTCTGACAATTGTTAAAGGCCCTATATTACACTAAACTGACTTTTGTGATCTTTAATCTAAGTTAGAATGTTGCTACCTCCTCAAAAACAGACCTGGAGTTGTGTTTTGTTTCATTCATGTTTAACTAATCCTGCTTTATTATTAGTCCGGCGACATATCTAAAGCTCAAAATGCTCTGTTCTACCTTGTGACGTCATGAAGTGGTAGTTTCCACATTAACAGCTGCCTTTTATCCTTTTGTTTAGTAGAGATCAGCAATTCCAGAGGCTGAAATCATCCAAATATTCCATTCTATAAGGTGTGTGGAGTTTAAAAACACAGTGGAGCTTTCAATGTGGGAATCAGCTGGAAAGTCTCCCTGGCTGGAAGGTCCCTAAACTGGTAAGTCCCCCTGAATTGTACCCTTTATGAAAGTTAGTTGTGGCATATTTATTGAGAGCACATGAGATTAACTATTTCAGGATTTGGTTTTACATATTTATATTAGTGGTGTAAAGATATCCAAGTGTCACGATACAATATCGTCACAGTATGAACCTCATGGTACGATATTTATCACGATATTGTGGGAAAGCTCACGATATGGTGGAGAGGCTCGGGATTATGAATGTAGCAATATCCAAATCTCCCTGTACGATATTCTCACGATATACATCTCACGGTACGATATTTATTGCGATATTTTGTGGAGGCTTACAAAAGTGTTAATATGCTACTTTTTCCTCTTAAAATGTCTTGACAAGACTAATCAAAAGAAAGAACTTATTTTTTCTTGTAGTCTGCACTGAAATGGAGCAAAGGATCATGGTCTATGTAGTTCTCTCTGTCTTTTTTAAGATATTGTGGCGCCATAATTCTTCATTTAAGCAGAGACTTTAGATACGATATTATTGAGAGAATTATGACGATCACGATATTTCGGTTACTGTTACATCCCTAATTTATACATATTTATACAGAAAAATACAGAGTTAAGACCTTCCTAAATGTGATTCTGAATGATTTTTGAACAAATTCTGTAGCTTTTTAAGTTTCTTGTGTCACGCTGCATACAAATGATGTTCATGGCATCCGGTAAGGAAATAATCCATACTGTGTTTCTTCCCAAATCAACACTTACAGATGCTATAGGACACAGGGAACAAGGAAAAATGATTTAAAATTCGATTTCATAGTAAACTTCTGCGAGCAAATGAGGATTATATTGATATTACACAGTGAAAAAAAAGTGTGCCGCTTTGGGAAGATCAGTAAAATGATGTAAACAAGGACCGACATTTGGTTTCGCTACATTCAAATTTCATTTTATTTTGATATAGAAGCTGATTTTCTAACTCAATAAATCACGTACTAAAGGCCGGAGAGAGAATGGGACGCACGAGCCGGGACTTTCAAGCCAGGGGGACACTCGAGCATTACCACAAGATGACATCACAAGTTGGAACAGAGTGTTATCTGTTTGAGAGAAGAACTCATCTTAAATGAAACAAAACACAACTCCAGGTCTGTTTATGATGAGAAAACTATATTAAAACATAGAAGAGAAAATCCAGAAATATGGGCCCGTTAAAGAGAGTGAGATGAGTCCAAAGAATCAGAGCGGTCGTCACAAACAAAAGAGACATTTTTTTAACTGAACTTAACCTGAAAGTCTAATTAATATGCAGGTAAAAGAGCCGCACGATGAATCACAAGCTAATAATGAAAATCACTGAATAAATGGGACCAATTACCCAAAAGCTGTCATTATTTTGGTGATATAAGAGTCTAAAGAACTCGGTGTCCTGCTTTTGTGGGGTCTCTTTTGTATAAAACTACTTACAGTGTAGACTCCAACTACAAATATTTTCTTAAAGGAACACTGAGGAACTTTTCTAGTTGTAGGTAATCTTTGTCTAGAATGTTCCACAGAATTGCATTATATCAATTATTCATTCATTTCTTCTTTTGTGGTTTTATTGCCCAAAACTAGCTTTAAAAATGAGATTTCCTTCCATGAGCAGGCTTTCATACTGTATCTCCACAGACCTGGCCTGTCACTTTGCTTGGCGGTCACCTGCTCGTCTCCGTGGAGATGTCACTGCTTTGCCGGGAATGTTCTGCAGTATGCATCACTGTTATCATAGAGACATCGCCAAGCAAAGTCATGTTTTTAAAAGTAGTTTTGGGCAATAAAAACACAAAAGAAAAAAAGAAAGATTGATATAACGGTCACTATTTTATACAGCACTTTTCCACGGTTCTTTTAAGGTAAGGCTAATTAATTGAATTTTGATCGCGATTTCGATTTGTGTGTCAAATGATCTCCAAACTCGTATAAATGAGCTGAAATGATTAAAGCTTAACAAAGTTTATTTTGGGATATTTTTTATATGAATAAGTATATTTATTTTATTTTTAAATATAGAGATTGTAGAAGAGCTGGATATATAATTTATTTTGGACACATTTATGTTTTTCTGCCTCATTTCATGTTCAAACTATATTTTATTCATTTTATGTTTTATACATCACAAAACTGCGCAAAAACAAGGTACATATTTGTAGCCTATATTTATTTTCAATTTGAAAGTTTTGCGTAAATTATCAATAACAAAGTGTTTTGTTTTTGAGAGAGAGAAATGCTGAATAAATGTAGCCAGGCTGGCACCACCTATTGCCTCCACTCAATTTCATTTCTCTGCAGCGACTAGGTCAGGAATAGTGTACAGAATACACTGCAAGAACCCTGAAGTTGTAGACCGCGCACTTTGCTGATTGGCCGGACAATCAGCTGTGATCTGTGAAGCCATGACGTCAAACTCAGGTGCCTGTCTGGGTCCCTTTTGTGGAACAGTAAACAAAGCGGTCGAGATGGATGTAGATGATACCAACTTTGAATTTTTTATTGCAAGTTTAATTCGCAAGTTCACCTCGCAGAAACAACAGTGATCGTTGACAGATATGTTCACTCTCTGCTTTGTTCGCTTTTGTGACGGCGATTGCTTGGACACCACTGAGTATTCCGGCGCATTACATCACGACAAAATAGCAGCATTGGTTAAATAAAAAAGTACCCACCTACTGTCAAGTGAACGAATCCTAATGCTGTTAGGTCAGACGGTTTCCATGAAGTGAAACTGGCTGATCAATCAGGCTAGAATAAATGCATCATGTAACTAAAAAATAATGTAATAATTTGAATTATCGTGATTTCAATATTGACCAAAATAACCATGATAATGTTTTTTTCCATAATCAAGCAGCCCTACTTCAACGCAATCAAAACACTTTACATCAAGAAATACACTGGAGGCATGGAGGGTTAAGTGTCTTGCCTAAGGACACAACAACAGCATTCATCTGTAGGGGGCTGGAATTGCACTGTCAACCTGTGGGTCAGTGGATGTTTATGTCCAGAGCAGGATCTGAACCACTAACCTTCAGATCGGCGGAGAAACCCTCGACCGACCAACTGAGGTACTGCCGCCCCATCAATAATGCAATACTGCGGAATATTCTAGACAGACAACGCAGTAACATCTCTATGGAGACAAGCAGGTGGCGGCGAACCTTCCACCAGGAAAGTTACATAATGCACCTTTAAAAACAGGTGATTCATGTTATATTATGTTATTATTTCTCACTGTAAATACGCTTTATGGCAAAAAAAAAAAGATACGATCACAATACTAATCATAAAATACTTTAACACGAAACGTAGTAGTAGTAGTATTCCCAAGACTGCAGTACACATTTATGTTGTGATTCAGGTTGTTTTGTCCTTGTGATCAGCGACAGTTAAAAAGCTGTTAAATGTGACTTCATTCATTCGCCAGGATCGCTCCACATGAGTCACCGACTTTATAAAAAGAATCAAAAACGTTCTGTCTTTACGGGACGCTTTGGTCAAGTCGCTCATTTCCACGGTTGAGGGACGTGACCGTGCTGTGCCAAAGCCAGTCTGGTTTCTTATTTGGACCTACTAATGAGAAAACCTGCCCTTTAAAGCCACACTGACGGACATTTTGATAATATGTGCCCTAAAGAGAACTTAAAATGAGCTTCTTTTTGGCTATAATCTGGCCTATTTATACTATAATTATAGAAGTTCATTAATATGCATTGTCCCTGTCAAATAAATAAATAAATACATAAATAATAAAGTGACTGCAAACCCACAGATCCAGTTTATGTGAGTTCTGGGACATGCTTCACTTTAGTAATTATATAGGAATTGTTTTGTAGTAGTTAATTACATAGGAGAGTACTTAGACTGCATATTCGGTTTATTTCTTGACGGCCAATTAACTCCTGTTTTCATACACACAGCAGCAGTGACTAGTGTGTAGTGTCACCAAACAAAAATGTATGAATGAATCAAACTCCATTCCGATGCCGAGGAACGGACTTCAGACACAATTGGAATTCTTTAGACAATAGAATGTGATTTTCCGCATTAAATCATAGTATTTTCTTTTCTATTATATCGGTGTAATCCCTCAGCTCAAGATCATTCTAAAGCTATTCAGGAAAGCTTCATTTCTTTTCTGTGAATGGGAGTTTTTTTAGTATCGATACCTGCTCAAATTTCGATCCTAGTATAGCTTTTTTATTCTGAAAAGGATGCAATTATAAATCAGCTTCTAGACTAGCTTTAAGTAAAGTGTTGTTACGTCCTCAAAAACAGACCTTGAGTTGTGTGGTTTTTTTTTTCATTCACACATGTTTGAGAATCCTTATTATTAGTCTGTCTACATCCCCAAAGCTCAAAATGCTCTGTTCCACTTTGTGATGTCATGTGGTGGTAGTTTTCAAGTGAACATCTACCTTTTCACTGACAAAATTCCAAAACTTTTCCATGACTTTTTCATGAAGTAAAGTGAATTTTGATGACTTTACGACAGCTACATGTGTAGAATTGATCAAACTTTTAAGACTAAGAATGAAACATTAATCCTTTCCACTCTCATGGTTTGGGATTATAGTTTTTTAATGTTCAAAATACTGTCAGGTAAGAGCGCAGGTTTGCATAGGGACAGTGGGGACATGTCACAACCAATATTTGGGGAAGACAAAATAGTCCCTACCAATATTTGACAGTTTATTCTAATGAACAAAAATATATATTTACTCCGATATTTTTCCAAACTCAATAGTATTCATTTAACATGTTTTAGTTCACATTTTGTTTATTAGACGTATATGTCATTAGGTTCTTGTTGCAGACCAAGGGTTTGTTTTCATACCTGACAGTTTCAACTGTTCACTCTCAACATCACGTGACCACTCTGAGGAAGAGCGCTAGTGAGCAGTCCAAACTGTCAGGGATGAAAACAAACTCTTGGTCTGTAAAAAGAATCTAATGACATAAATTACCTGAAGACCAAATGAACCTCATCAGACTGTTTATTAGATGTTCTGACAGAGTTACCCATGCTGCTGTTTCATTGGCTGCAACAGAGAGTGATGTCATTAGTGGAGCCCGGAACCTAAACTGGGGAAGCGGCAGGACAGGGCCGCACCTGAAGATGGCGGCTTGAGCAGGCGTGAGTGAAGACGCTGCACCAAACTTTGAAAAACTTTACAAAAGGAACTGACTTGGTTTCATCTTCAATTAAACTTGTCTTATAATGAGTCACCGTGGAAAAAGAGCGACTATATCCACAAGTGCATCTCCCAAACGAAGCCCTACTCGTGCGCTGTGAGACCCCGACTCTACTGACAATATTCCATGGAAAAATGTAGGGACATGACCTCACAAATATCTCGTTACCAACAAGCAAAGAGAAATCTGTTAGGTGATGGGGGGTTTAGCTGATAATGTCCCAACCAAAGCTGAGACCAAACCTACACCTTTGCTGTCAGTGTATTTCTTGTCGTCTCTGTTAAACAAAAGACGCACACGTTTTGAAATAATAATAATAGCCTCACGAGAACTTAACAGAATTCTGTAGTTGCATGAAGAGTTACTAAAATTCCATGACGTTCCCAAAACTTTCATTGAATTTACAAAATCCCAGGCCTGGAGAACGTCATTTTCAATTTCCATGGCATTTTCTTTCCAGGATTCCCATGAATGTGGGAACCCTGTACGTTTAGCTCAGTTGAGATTGGCAATTTGAGGGCTGAAATCATCCTCATGAGGTAAATGGAGTTTAAAAACACAGTGGAGTCCTTCCTGTATCACTGTATCACCACAAGACACAGATGTTTGTTTTTAATGGTCTTGCACCTTCCTACTTGTGGATTTTGACCCCTCACCAACCCCAGCAGAGCTCTACGATCAGCTGGAGGTCCCCCAGTCCCGGTGCAAACAGTGGGGTGATCGTTCTTTTGCAGTGGCCGGTCCAAAACTCTGGAACTCTTTGCCCGTTGAGTTACGGTTCATCCCTGACCTGCCTCTGTTCAAAGCCAAACTTAAAACCTACTTATTTAGAATTACTTTTAACACTTAGTGGCCCTGTGACACTCGACCTATTTGTATGATGTTAATTGTTTTTGTTTTTTTTATCTTGTTTTAATGTTGTACAGTACTTTGGTCAGCTTTGGTTGTTGGAAGGTGCTATAGAAATAAAGTTTGATTGATTGACTGATTGAAGATATCACAAGGTGGAGCAGGATTTGTGCGTTAAACATGTGTGAATGAAACAAAACAATGAAAAACTCCAGGTCTGTTTGCCATGAGGAAACAACATGACAACACAGATCAGAAAATACAATTCCATTTGACGATTTTAAAAAACTCACCTTTGCTACCAGCTGGAGAGAGCCATCCACTGTCAATACTCTTCAAATGTGATGAGGGATGCGAGGGCAGAACTTCACCAAACTTAGACAAAACATCTTCAACTTCAATGTACCACAAAGTCACGTGAGGACTCCGTCAGGGAAAAACTCCACAAAAAATAAAAATAAATAAAAAATACCCCAAACTTTAAACGCCCATGAGCAGCAGTGCGAGATGACCGTGCGCCGTGGCCAAACCTGCGAACCGCTCTGGGTTCAAATCTAACATGAGGTCCGTTCAAACCCGCTGGGAGAAGTCGCTTTTTATCATTACGCCAGCCAGGATCTGACCCACTTATTAAAAATGAATATTCTCTGCAGAAATGAACCGAGTCTAGCGAGGCAGAGTGCACCTGCAACCAACGAAAAAAAAGTGTCTCAGAGAATAAAACAACCCGCTCCCCCCTTGTGGATGGATAAACCCTAGATGTCCGTCATTATAGCCGAAGAGGGGCGCCCTATCCCCCGATGAAACGGCTCTCCAGAGAACAGTGTGATCCAAAGCGTGTCACATGGGCAGCAACGCATTCATTTTTTAAAAGTGGCCAAGTTTTCCACACGTGTAAGTGGCTCTTCGTAAGACAAAACATGTACAAAAGCGCAAACGAAGCGTGCGTCTTTTCCGATGTGGTCAGTAGTTAAGAGAGGCTAATCTTCCTTCTCCCAGGCGTAATTAACTAACGCGGTGCTGATCCGGTGCAAAGGAGGTGTATCCCTTTAGGCCCGGGTTACAAAGCGGAGAAGGCAAGCGGCGACTGCAGGCCCCGAGCCTCGGTCAAATCCGCGGTTTGCACTTCACATATTACGCACGGAGCATCGCGAACGAACCTACTTCATCTTTTGGACACGGTGGTGACGAAGCTTCGGCCATGACGCAAAAGCACGACCAGGGAAACGCACGGAAACGCCTGCTACCTCCGCTGCTCGCTCGCTGTAGATGTAGATCCAACTTCTTTCCCCCATAGACAGTGCATATAAGAGTTTAGCGTGCGTCCCGCGGTGCCATTTCGCTCGTATCCACAAAAACGAGACTTAAAGATTCGGGGAAAGTTAAGCGGTTTGTCCGAGATGCTACGGGAAATCTCGACAGTGGACTCCAAAAAAGCAGCAGCAAAAAAGGGGGCTCGTTGACAGCTTGTAGCGAAATCAAAACAAGCACAGATCTTCTTCCGTTTATTCGCGGCTGTCAGCGCAGGAAGTGGACCGCCGAGGCGAAGGCGACAGCGGAGCGGGTTAGGTCAGCGGACACGAAGCGAGCCCACGTTGCGTTGTTACCGCTGACATGTTTTCAAGAAAAAGTCCCCGGGCTAAAATGCAACTAGATTTGGATCCAACATGGTGAACAAAACCGGAGCTGGTCGGCGGTGAGATTATGCAGCGCGCACGGCCAATAGGAGCGCGCCGTGCCGTGACGCAGGGGGGATCTGGAGTGAGTGAAGGCAGAGGCAGCCAGTGGAGCGGCGCGCTTCGGGGACGGGATTACCACCAGGCAACAGCACCGTGTGACAGGCGGGGAGGCAGGGACCAGAGCTGAGGGCCAAAAGAATGAAGGAACAAGTGCAAGTTAGGTTCACTCCGCTGAGGATGAGGAGAGAGGGGGAGAAACGTGATCTGATTTCATTCATTTGTTTGAGCTTTATTCACATTTTGATTTAGTCTTTGTTGTTTTGTGATGAGTGAGCTACTGTGTCCAAATCGTTTCCCTTGTGGCTCAGTGAAGTTTGTCTGAGTCTGGACGATTCATTTAAAAGCGTAATGACGATTTCAGATCCTCAAATAGGAGTTAAAGGTGCATTGTGTAACTTTTCTAGTAGAGGAAAAGCAAGTTTATTTGTATAGCACAATTCATACACAAAATTCAAAGTGTTTTACAGAATAGTCCATCAAATTCTTTTTGCTATGGAGAAGTTATTGCTTTGTCTGGAATGTTTCAAAGTACGGCATTAAACATTTCTATCTTCCCAAACTAGAGCAAGTTAGAGGTTAGATCTGTGGAGAGGCGAACCCGCTCATAGTCAGAATGCTTGTTTTGGTTTGTTTTTTATGTATTTTTGAACTATAAAACCACCTGTAATTGAATAAATGTAAACTATAGCTGTTAATCTCATACTGTGGAACATTCTAGACAGAGCAATGACATCTCCATGGAAACAAAGCAGGTGACGGACCCTGAAACAAAAAGTTACACAGTGCATCTTCAAATAAAAGTTGGAGAAAAGAAAAGAATAAGGTTTATTTTAGAATTCGTTTGTCTGGGATAAAAATAAATACATTCAGGCCTTTTATAATTTCACATAGATCCTCAATTAGAAGTTAAAGGCTAAATAAAGGTTAATAAAAGTGGGAATATGCACAATTTTAAAGGTAACCCTGTAATGTGCTGTTGTCTAGAATGTCATCTCTGTATTTTGTGGACAGAGCAGTGGTGGAAGAAGTATTCAGTTTAGTCACTTAGGTAAAAGTATAGATACAGAAGTTAAAAGTTATTCAAGTAAACATAAAACATCTAAAAGTATTCAGTAAAAATATTTAAGTACCCGTTGAAAAAAAAGTTCTGTAAGAGTAAAACAGTAAAAAAAAATATATCACGTATTTCAAATGTTGTAGATTTATTAAAATTGATTAACAATTTATCAGAAAATGATACGGATTTTGGAATATGAATCAGTTGCTCATTTTTTCTCGTTAATGTTGTGTCCCTGGAGTAGCTGGAGGAAGTGTCTGGGGTGAAGGAAGTCTGGGAGTCCCTGCTTAAACTGCTGCCCTCGTGACCCGGCCCCGGATAAGCGGAAGAAAACGGATGGATGGATGTTGTGTATTTGTTTTTGTTTGCTTAAACCAGGACCAAAAAAATTAAGTCAGGATGTTACGGACATGTAAAATAAGTAAATAACCCCTAAAATCTGGAAAATGAAAGTTACTTTTACTTTTGAGTCCTGTTCTAAAGTACAGATGCATGCTCTCAAATGTAGCACAGTAAAAGTAAAATGTACTTAAGTAAAGTACAGATACCTAAAAATTCTACTTAAGTATTGTACTTACTTGTACTTTGTTACCTTCCACCCACCATGCACAGGAATATCACGTCTTGGTAAATATTGAAGAGGTATATTCTGGACGTCAGGAAAGAAGAACAAAACCACACTCACTTAGACTTGAAGCTGCACTGAGTAACTTTTCTGGTGGAAGGTCCAACCCCCTGCCTGTCTCCATGGAGATATTACTGTTTTGCTTTGAATATTCCACAATATGGAAATAAACTTGGTCATCACAGTGGAGACAGGTTAATGTTCAGATCTATGGAGAAGCAAGCCTGCACATGGTAACAGTTTGTGTTTTTAAAGTATTTTTGAAATATAAAATGCCTGTAAATGAACAAATGCAAGGAATATATGCTCAAGGTCCTATTGTGGCACATTCCAGAAAAACAGAAAAATAAGATTGTAGCAGATTCTCCACTTTAGAAGTTTAAGGGAAATGACTTGGACACAAAAAAAAAAAGAAGCAAAGAAGCAAAAATAGCACTACAGAACTCATCTGGTAGAAGGTCCGCCACCTGCTGGTCTCCATGGAGAAATTTTTATTTTTTTATTTTTCACAGTATGGCAGTACTGCATCTGTTTTGCATTTATTTATTCACAAAAATACCTTGAAGAACACACTTTCTTACTATGAGTGGGGCCAACTCTCAGGTTCGATTCCCACACCGACCAAGTTCTGTCACTGTGTTCTCGGGCAAGACACTTTAGCCACACCACAGCCACTAATGAATACAATTCCATTAAAATAAATACAACGAGGCTAAAATGGGGCTCAGAACATTTTTCAGGGGGAACGCACGCTGTGAATATACCGTTCCATATAAAGTAAATAGTTTGGACTGAGTCCAAACTATTTTTAATTTTTTTTATTTTTAGTCAGCAGAAAATGATAGGTAAAGGTGAGGTAAAGTTTATATCCAAATTTTATGAATGAAACCAATGTATTTATGTACAATAATACTGCCTCTGTCTTTATTTGGCATTAAAATTTGACACATTTTAGTAATCATGGCAGACTAGAGCATCATGTGATGTCATGTCCTCGTTGAGGACATGGGACTATGTCATGTTATTGATTGTACCATGTTGTTAGCTAAACTTGGGAACATTTAGATGAGTTTACTAGTGTTGTAGTTTACTAGTGTTGTAGTGGAGACCGCACTAAACGTGCAGTTTAACCAATGATGTCTGTTTGTGTCATACAGTAAGATCAATCCATTGTTCTCATATGAGGACATCATTTTTTTGCAAAAACTACTTCCTGTATAAAAACAAAGTTTACTTATTATACTTATACGGTCCCACTTATCCCAAATAGCAAGGAGAAATAAAAATGCACACCAGACAAAAGCTCGGGTCTCAAGAGGTTAAAGTTAAAAAGTTAAAGTCATTGATATTTTAACTATTTACTAATTGCTATTTGTATCATTTATTGTTAGTTAAAATGGATGAATTAAAATAAACGCAAATCGTTGCTGTTTATAGATCAGCGGGCTATTTATTTTTATTTTATTGTCCTTTAATTTGAAGTAATGACCGCTGCTTCCTCTTGCGCTTTTATTGCGAAGGCGTCTCCCGGAAGCGCAGTATTGTTGTCGTCAATGCCACGTCGTGTTTGGTAAGGAGCAGGTTCGTAAGTTACTGCACTTTTCTCTTTTTAGATGACATTTTACCACATATATACCAGCTTTTACGCACAGAACATAAAACGCGTTTGAGCTAAAAGCGTGATCGAAGCTCCACGCTGGTTTACGCCGGAGTCAGCACAATTTGACAGCGGCGCACACGGCGTCTCCAAAACTTTATCAGAGCTGTGCACTTTGAAACGGCGGAACTTGGGCATTGTTCCATTCGATTGACTCATTTGATTTAGTTAGAATGACGATCAGAGGAATAAAATGCCGTTTTGTGTGACTAGCTTGTCTCTACGGGAGGAAGTGTTCATGTTACCGTGTTACGTCAGGCCCGGATGGATTTGGGAATGCTCTGTTGCGCATTTTAGGAGCGTTTAAGTTGATTTAATAACGTAATTGGTGTGATCTTCTTGTCAGACTAAAGCTGTAACCTGTTATTATCTAGCCTGTACAGCAAGTAACACGATTTAGAGCCTATAATTATATTCTACCGCCCAATAGCCTATAATAGTAGTCCACACCAACTTTCCAATTAAAAACCACCTACCAACAACGAGGGCAACAGAAGTTTATTTTTATTTTACTTATTTAAAACTACATTGTGTAACCTTTTTAGTTGAAGGTCATTCACTTTCTTGTTTTCATGGTGATTGCCAAGTTGCCAGAAATCATACATACATACAGTCTGCTACTAAACTCTTATCTCTATCATCATGAAGACAGACACAAGTTACAAGTCAGATCTGTGGAGGGTAGGGGTGTGCAGAAAATACTGCAATAGCGATATATCGTATTGTTTAATTTGATGATGCACAGTGTTGGGAAGGTGACTTTTAAAATGTATTCCCCTACAGATTACAGATTACATACACAAAAATGTAGTTTGTAACAGAATCCATTAAATTACTTAAAGTGGGTAACGTAATCTGAATACTTTATATACGGATTACTTGATATTGTCATACTTTTTAAAACTACATGAATGTAACAACCACATCCTGAAAATTCTTGTTTGTTCAGACTTTACTTGACCAAATGAAAAATATTATTGATAGAGAAATTATTATATTATATATTATTATAAATTATAATAATATATTATGAGATCACTGCTGCTTTAAATTATGTCCACACTACTGTTAGTGTCATGTTGTATTAGTTTAGTCCTTGTTTAGACCTGGTTTTAGTCCTGGTTTTAGTTTTGGTTTAGACCTGGTTTAGTTCTGTTTTAGTCCTGGTTTTAGACCTGGTTTTAGTCCTGGTTTTAGACCTGGTTTTAGTCCTGGTTTAGCTCAAAATGTGAAAACAGGAAAATACCGCCATGTAATCCATTTATTTCAGCAAAGTAACTGTAATCTATTTACCACTCACTGAAACAGTAACTGTAACTGAATACAGTTACTCATAATTTGTACTCTGATTACATAACGCCGATACATGTAATCTGTTACTCCCCAACACTGATGATGCAGTATATATTGTCAAGAGTATTTTTAGGTGTACTTTACCAAATTATTTTGTGTAAGAGGCATAATTGTGTTGACATATTCACTGTTTTGATGAGTAAACTGGGTGTTTTCCATATTAACTTTGCTCAAACTTAGTAAACTTAGTAGATTTTTAAGATCACAGCCATGATTTAGCCTTTGTTTTTCACAGAACTGTATCAAATCGATTTGAAATCTACTGTATTGAATTGTATTGAAATCGTATCAGAAAGCGCAGTGTATCGAAAAACATCGTATTGGCAACTTCTTAATGGTGTCCAGCCCTAGTGGAGAGGTGATCACGCTGACGGCAAGAATGATTTTCAAGTTATTTTTGATCAATAAAACCCTCATTATTAAATAAACAACAGAGAGATAAGTTTAATGCTTTAATGTGGAATTAAAAGATCTCCACGGACACAAGGACGTGGTGTACTCCTTACCAAGAAAGTTACTTAGTGCGTCTTTAAATGTGTTGCCTGAGAATATTAATACCAAAGATTTTTAATGCTGACCTGCATTTTTGTGACAGCTTAAATGTGTATTGTGTAACTTTTCTGGTGGAGGGTTTGTCAAACGCTTTTCTCCACAGAGATGTTATTGCGTTGTCTGGATTTTTTCACAGTGTGGTAGTAATTTTCATGGAGAATGAACCAGAGCTGACCCAGGACTGAACCAGGACTAAATGACGTCTGAACCCAGACTGAACCAGGTCTGAACCAGGTCTGAACCAGGTCTGAACCAGGTCTGAACCAGGTCTGAACCAGGATCCGGACTAAACGAGGACTAAATGAGAACAAACCAGGTCTGAACCAGGTCTGAACCAGGTCTGAACCAGGATCAGGACTAAACCAAGTCTGAACCAAGTCTGAACCAAGTCTGAACCAAGTCTGAACCAAGTCTGAACCAAGTCTGAACCAAGTCTGAACCAAGTCTGAACCAAGTCTGAACCAGGATCAGGACTAAACAAGGATTAATCCAGGTCTAAACCAGGTCTAAACCAGGTCTAAACCAGGTCTAAACCAGGTCTAAACCAGGTCTAAACCAGGTCTGACAGTATCTCTCAGTCCAGCGTCACACTTTCTCCTTTTTCATGCTTACTTTATCTTGATTTGTTGTTGCTTTAAACTGTTTCACTAAATCGATGCAATCAGGTAAAATGAACGAGCGTCAGACTTGGTGGTAATTGTCATGGAGACCAAACCAGGCTAAGTTACAGGTCAGATCTGTGGAGAGGTGACCCCGCTCACAGTCAGAACACCTGTTTTTCTAAGTATTTTTGAGCTGTAAAACCACTTGTAATTGAATACATGTAAGGCAGAACTGTTTAATGTCACACTGTGAAACATTTCAGACATTAATGACATATCCAGAGAAGCAAGCAGGTGATGGAAGCCCAACCGAAAAGTTACACAGTGCGCAGTTACACCTTTTTAAGCTTAAGTAAAGAGTGCGTTGCAATTGAGGCCGAGCAAATGATGTGGTGATTGCAGATGTGTTGATCTGGTTTATGGTTTAAATATCTGTAATTACTGGGCCTATCCACAAAAAACAAAAACTGGGAAAAAAAACAAAAAACTGAACCCACTAATTCTCTGTGTAGAAAACTGTCTCTTCTTCATCAGATTTTTATTTGTATTTTTTTAACTCTAGACTGTTAATGCAATCTCTTACAACTACATACAGAGTTTCCAAATATTTTAATCCTATCATCATTCAGGTTATTCAAGCAACACCATGGCATCTGTATTAGAAATAGTCTCAAGTGGTTGCATCATATTACGTTTCCTAACTTGCATTTAAAGCCCCAACATGTAGCTTTTTAGACTGTAATTCAAGCATGTTTTTCATTTTCGGACACGTTTATTGCACTGAAAAACAGAATATCATGTGTCCAAGTGTCGTTAATGTGAGCAGGCTTGCATTTCCACAGACCTGACTCTTATTTGGCCTGGAGGAGAGTCTCTTCCTGCTTGTTTCCATGGAAATGTTGTTCCTTTGGCTAGAATATTCCACATTATGGCATAAAACGTATGTCTCCGTCTAGACCACAGGTGTCAAACATAAGGCCCGGGGGCCAGATCTGGTCCCCCAAGACCTTTAATGTGGCCCTTGGGTGATTTTCTACTAAAATATTTTAATTATATTTTCTATTAAAATATTGGTAATATTCTGCGGTGCTTAGCATAGCAACGTCTCCAGCGTCTCTGTACGTGGCCCCTCCCACCAGAGCAGCACAAATGAAGACTTGTCTCTTTCCAAACGCTCTTAAAGGACGATCGTTTTGACTGTTGACCGTGACACCCCATCAACAAAATGTCCAAAATGAGAAAAGTGGAGCCGAGTGCAGGATTTTCCAAGAAAAATTGACTTATTCCTATTTGAATACAAGTTCATTTTAAAACTTTGTGTTGAAATTGAATTTTTCTTAAAGTTTCAGATTGTTCGTAATAGAGCCCGACCGATATATCGGCTGGCCGATATTATCGGCCAACATGGGCACCTGGAGACATATCGGCTATTGGCCGATATGCTTGCTGATATTGGCCGATATTTCACGTGGGCATGTTATATCTCGTTATAAAACTTAGACTCTCTACATTCTGTTCATTTAATCCAATTTACAGACAGATAAATGTCCGAATATGTGGCTCCGCATCAGTATTTATCTACGGTGTAATTTGTCTGTGTCTGTGTCCGTACTGTCCCTGAACACACCACCAGAGTGACGTCACTTCACTCGCGTGTGTTTGTTTACACCCGCAGCCGTGCGCAACACTGAGATTATTTCTTTTTCGGACAATTGGTTTGAGTCTGGATTAAAAGGACATTTATTAGTGCAGACTTGTGATGTGAGGAGGAGCCTGTGTGAGCGGTGAGTGTTGGAAATACATCGACTATGAAGCTAGTTTAGGTTTTGTTAGCAATTAGCTGCTGTAGCTCCCACACATAAACAGGCTGTTTTCTATTGGTCTATTGTAAAGTGACTATATTGGCCGTATATTTGTTACTGGACCTGCATTGATATGTAAATGAGCTGTGAATAGACGTGTGAATGATCCACATTTATGCATATAATTAATTACCGCGGTGCGCAAGTTTTTACGGCTAAAGGCTAATAGCGATAGTTTACTAGCTAGGAGTTATGGATCGGTCGCGATCGAAGCAGCTCTTAGATCCGGCTCTTTGAAGCGAACAACGGGAGCATGTTTCTTATTGGGAGCCGTGTTTTCTCTTTTTCTCACTTTTTCTCTTCATGCCGCTTGTAGACCCGTAGTTTGACAGCAGCAGCGGCTGAAAACGAAACTTTCAGAAATCTGCGTGTGCATAGGATAAAAAAAGTGCATATTTGGCTGCAGTTCAGCATAAAATGAATAAACCAGGACTAATCTTGGGCTCGAGTGAGGGAGAGACCGAGTCCCGACACTCAGTCCTGGTTCAGTTCTGGTTTAGTCCTGCTTGCAACAAAACAATCTCAAGAGTCGCTTGGGAGCCGAAAGAGCCAGCTGCTTTAGTGAGCCGAGCCGGTTCTCCAAAAAAAACAAAAAAAAACTGGAATATATAACCCATCACTAGCAGTGACAGTAACAGTAGCTAGAATGTGATGCAAAAATGCCATTAGGCCAATCTACTGTATGTAAATATGATGTAAAGAGTCAAAATAACAATAAATGTTGCCTAAATAAACCCAATTTAGAATCCACTAGAGCCAAACCTAAGTTTTTTAATCAATTCAAGATTTACAGCGAATTTTTACATCACTAAATATATCGGCGATTATATCGGCTATCGGCAGCCCCAACTCACATTATATCGGTTTCATATCGGCCACAACAAAATCCATATCGGTCGGGCTCTAGTTCATAATATTATAATATAATATAAGAAAGAGTTCATCAATTAAAAAAGATTTCTGTAATAGATTTGTGTTTCTCTGCACAAATATTTGAACTTATTGTTATTTTTGGGGTTTATATGTCATGAGTTTTCTGATCCGGCACTTTTGGGATCAAAGTAGGTTGGATACGGCCCCCGGACCAAACTGAGTCTGACACTCCTGGTCTAGACTGTTCACAAACGGTTTTAACATAGATCAACAACAGAGATCCCACATCGAAAAAGTTACACAGTGTTGCTTTAACAATGTACATTGTGTAACGCAGACCTACACAAAAACTATGTCTATCGTTTTTGCTTCATTTGTGCTGTTTTGTGCTGAAAGAAGTTTTGTTTGCGCTGCTTTAGTTTTGGAGACACTAACAATTCTTTTATAGGTCAAATTAGGGTCAGCAGCCCCCAGGACGCTTCAAAATGCTGTGATGTGTCAATCGTTTGTGCTTCGTGTTGCAGATCTTTAGGCACAGAAACAATTTAGGTTGTCTTTTTCCACAGGGGATGTTTATTATGAAGCCAAAAAAAAAAGTTAAAATGGCTACTACTACAGTCCCCAATCTCATCCCGTGCATAGCTGCAGTCAAAAAACACACTCCAGTCTAGTTCAAGGCACACGTACAAAAACAAGTGCGGGGCATTCAAATGCACCTCGTAAAACCAATAATGTTCAGAATTTAAAATAACAGTGTCAGTGAACCTCAAAACAATTAAAGTTTACATTAATTCACAACAATAATGTATAACTGTAAATTAATTAATCACGTCTCTGACATTTGTTCGCGCTGTTTTGTGCTGCAAAAAGTTTTGTTTGTGCAATTCTGGTTCTTAAGATATCAGCAGTTTAATTTTGGGCCGATGACGTCACCCCGCCCCTCAAAATGTTAAATAGCCTCAAAACAGGCAGAAAATTATACCAAACGTTTGTATTTCATTTGTGCTGTGACTATTTTCATTTGTGCGTTTATTTCTAAAAATTATTATTATTTTTGTGGAAATTGTATGACGTCATTTCCACTCAGATGACGGCAGTGGCTTTAACAAAACTCCGCAAAACTAGAAGAGAAGTGAAATGTTCTGAGGCTGTGGAAAAGTCTCTGTTGTTATATAAAATTAGAATCAAAAGCAAGTTACTAAAGACTGATTCAGACTTTTCTACAGCGCTGTTTAACATTTTGAGGGGCTGGATGACTAGCCTGATTCATCAGCCGGTTTCGCTTCGTAGAAACCGTCTGACCTCACAGTGTTAGAATTCGTTTGCTTGAGGGTATACTGGTACTTTTTATCATTTACCCAATCGCTGCTATTTGGTAGCCACTTATGTAATACTAACGGGACTAACTGGTATTTTAAGCATTTCCCAAATCCCATAGGAAGAAGGACAATAACGTCTTTCCTCTTGATAAAATTCACCAAACATTCTTTGTTCTGGCTTTAAATCCTCGATCTCTGGAATTGTTGACAACACAGAATGTATGGCTGGTGCCTGAACTTGCACTTCTGGGGTTTTTGTAAACCGTCTAGTGTATTTTGATTCCTGACCTAGGTGCTGGAGAGAATGAAATTGAGTGGAGGCACTAGATGGCGCCAGCATGGCTACTGGATAACACCATCTGCCGAAATTAAAACTGTTAATGTCTTAAGAACCATAATACCACAAACAAAACTTTTTTACAGCACAAACCAGCACAAACGGAGCACAAATGATAGACATAGTTTTTGTTTAGGAGTGCTTTTGATGGGGGGCCAACTTCATGGCGGTTTCAAACTTTATAAAGACTAAACCAGACCAAGTTACAGATCTGAAAGTCAGATCTGTGGAGAGGTGACCCCTCACAGTCAGAATCCCTGTTTTTCTAGATATTTTTGAGCTATAAAACCACCTGTAATTGAATAAATGTAAGGCAGAGCTGTTTAATGTCACACTGTGGAACATTCCAGACAGAGCAATGACATCTCCATAGACACAAGCAGGTGACAAACCAAAAAGTTACACAGTATTGCTTCAGTTTCTGTTTTTCTTTTCTGTCTCTCCAACAGGCACCGCAAAGCCACCACAGCGCCACCATGAGGCAGCTCAAGGGAAAACCCAAGAAGGAGACATCGAAGGACAAGAAGGAGCGGAAGCAGGCGATGCAGGAGGCCCGGCAGCAGATCGCCACCGTGGTCCTGCCCACTTTAGCTGTGGTGGTACTGCTAATCGTAGTGTTCGTGTACGTCGCCACGAGACCCGGTGCCGTGGAGTAAAAAAACAATGCGGAACTCATGAAAAGTACTTTTCCAAAGAACTGACAACCGTCCAACTCCAACATGGATTTAAACCTGTTGTCTTAAAAGCGCTCTACGAATTACTGCTTTGAGAAGTCTACCAAATGGCGGATTTTGTTCCTCGTTGCCTTAAATCCATCTGCCGTCTTCAGTCGCCAGTACAAGCAGCGTGCACTTTGCTCGGATCGGGGATCTTACCAAAAGGATGCAGTTTTTTAAATATCTTCACCAAAGGATTTGTGATTTGCCAAGGATGAACTGGACTATGTGATTATCGGGATGTCGTCATGTCAATGTTGAGTGCTTGTATATGGTAATTAAAGATGCACTGTGCAGCTTTTGTAGTGGAGGGTCCGTCACCTGCTGGTCTTCGTGGAAATGTCATCGCTTTGTCTGGAATGTTCCATGTCCATCTAACATTTAATTGCTCTTCTCAGATCTGAACTGTAATCTAGCATAGTGCTGTAACCTGCTTCTCTTCCTCACCATAAATAGGTTTAATCTATACTGTGGAACATTCTAGACAAAGCCGGTGTCCGATACTCCACTAGAAAAGTTGCGCAGTGCAGCTTTAATCAGGTGCAACGTTGTGACTATCAGCCCATTGTAAAGCCTAAAATGCACTGTAAGCAATTTGAGCGACCACTTTTCTTCTTTTTCTTCTTCTTCTTCTTCTTCTTAATGTGTTGCCATAGCAGTTAAATATTTTTTCATCGCGTGATATCCCTTTGGAGTTTGCACATTAACCAAGCAGAACCAGAAAACAAAATATTAGATTTGAATGATGAAAAGTCCTTGAAATGTCGCCATAACAGGAAGCTGAAGTCATAATTATTGGCCACAGCAGAACAGAAACAATCCACAAGAGCTGGATTAAATCAGAACTAAACCAGGACTAAACCAGGGTATAAACTAGGGATGTAACAATAACCAAAATATTGTGACATCATATCGTCAGAAGTCTCAGAATAATATGGAGAGCTGTAACAAAATATCAAAATATAAGTTCCTTTGCTTAAATGCATTGTTCTTTAGTAGAAACAGCGAATAAACATAGGGAACTACGTGTCCCATGATGCATTTCAGCGCAGGCAGCACGAAGAAATATGTTTTTTAATTGAATTCTTGGGATTCTGAGAGTAATAATTCACACCAAAATCTTATCAAGGTATTTTAAAAGCAAAAAAGTGTCCTATCTAGAATTCTATTTTCCACTCCAAAATATCGCAGTAAATCGTTATCGTACTGAGAGATTTGGATATCGTTACATCCCTAATGTGAACAGATCAACCCAGAACTAAACCAGGTCTGACAGTATCACCCAGTCTAGCGTCACAGTTTTCATTTTTTACTTTTACTTTACCTTGATTTATTGCGGGCTTTAAACTGTTTTACCAAAAAGATGCAATGAGGTAAAATGTCAGTAGAATGGGCATAGACAGTATCAACTTAGACAAATATGAAAGACGTTTCCCCATCACAGCTAAAAATGTGGTTTCTTGTTTCGATACTAACTTGTCAAACTTGGATTTTAATTATAAAAGCTCTATTTTAGACAATATTGTAGGGCTGAACGATCTTTTGTTTTGGACCAAAAATCTCGATCTCAAACAACACGATTTTGGGAGCCTCAAAGCTGCAGTTTTATCCAGTTCCTAAAGCCCAATTTTAAGAGCGAAGTTTAGTTCTGCTAAGTTTAGTTCTTTACTCAACGCACACTGCTGCTGTCCCCTTGTTGTTGTCATTTTTGATTTGTGGATCTGCGTCGAGGTCTATGCGTCGCGAAGTAATTCACCACCACAACACTAGGGGGCGAAGATTTAAACCTGAGAATGAACCATCTCCAAAAATAGAAGCACAGAACAGACTCCCCATCAGCAGCACATCCTCTATCACAAAAAAGAACACTTATATTTCACTGAGTCGTGTCCTTTAGTCTGACAAAAGCTGAACCACATCGGAGCACAAGGATCAAGCTGTTTTTTTTTTTAGAGCTTACAGTTTATGAAAAAGTGCCATGTGGTTTTAAGTTTTGCTTCTGTAAAACGTAAACAAATGTGCTTCAGATTATCGGTGCAAGACTCTGGTGTGATGAAAGTTTCTGTGATGTCTGCAAACGTTCATGTGCACTAAAACTTGATTTGAAAAAAATTATGAATGAAATCAAAATCGCAATATCTGCCAGAAAAATTGCAATTCAATTTTTTCTTAAAATCGTTCAGCCCTACAATATTATATAATTTTCAACACAAAATAATAGTGTTTGTTTATTATCCCATGTGGTCTTACTCTAGTTCTAATGCAACTCTAGAAGGAACTGTTCAGGAAAGGCCAAATTTGATCCGGTTATGCCAGTTTCTTTTTTTGTTTCAGTATCAATACCTGCTCAAATGAGTATCTACTTTCGATATTAGTTTTCATATCGGGTAGTATCTGCTTTTCGATACTTCTGACAACCCTGTTCTTCATTGAGCTCCAACCAAACTTGACGGTTGACTCGATTTTAGACAATCTTTATCTCCAAGTATGATCCAACCAAAATGCCCTACTTGCTTGTCGCCATGGAGATTTTACAGTTTTTGCCTTGATTATCCCGCAGTATGGAAATAAACTTGGAGACAGATTAACGGTCAGATTGATGGAGAAGCAAGCCCGCACGTGATTCAAGGTGTTTCTGAGCTATAAAACACTAATTAAAGAAAAGAAAGTGAAATATATGTTTAATTCTGTAACATCTCCATGGAGAAACACAAAGAAGTTACGCAGTGCAACTTTTAAGATAAACAGCTCTATATTTTACCCAATGTCGTATCTTTAAAAACGTCAGGGTCCTTTTTACGACTATCAGATATTGAATAATTGATCCATAATTACAAATGAGTGCATTATTATTATTATTTAGGTAGTAGGGATGTAACAATAACCGAAATATCGTGATATCGTATCGTCAAAAGTCTCAATAAAAACATAAAGAAACACAAACACAAAAAAACAGAAGGAACTACATAGACCATGATCCTTTGCTCTGTTTCAGTCCAGACTACAAGAAGAAATAACAGTTCTAAGCACTTTTAAAGCTTAGTTCTTTGGGTCATTTAAAAAGTGAAAAAGCTGCATATTCATAGTTTTGTTTACATCCACGAAATAACTATCGTACCGTGACATGCATGATATCGTGAAAATATCGTATCGCGAGATTTGGATATCGTTACATCCCTATAAGGTACTGTAGTCATATTTTGGTATGGAAAGTGCATGATATTTGTGTTACTGACTTGAGGGAAAAAAATGTATTTGTAGTAACTGCATGAGGCCAGAAAGAGGCGCTGTTCACCATGAAAAAGTCACAGCAGATTCTATAAACTAGACCTATATGTATGTCATTTTTTATATATTTTATGAAACAAAAACGTACTGTATTTCGCTCTGGTCACATTTGGCGGTGTGAACGGTGTGAGCGGTCGGTGTGTGGCCTTTATCTGAATTGTATTAAGTCTTATTTTTTACTATGCAAAAGTGTATCGGATGTACGCCACTAGAAAAAATGCAAAAAAAGCAGGCGGAGGTGGATTGTTGAACACTAGGTGGAGCTGTTCCCAAAGTATTTTCTGAATGTCGGAATGCCATTGATTGAACTCCAGTGTAAAGTCCACGGGGCGTTGTGTTTCCTCTATTAAGTTATTGACACACACGCAGTCATGTGTTGTCGTGTTGCGTTGCATTGTGGGACTGTGCAGATGTGAAGGTGCCTTAATAATCAAATCACAACTGTTAAAATAAATAAAGACATTTTACTGGAATTGAACAACATTCATCAATGATCATGACCATTTAAAGGGTTTGTATTACATGTTTTTTTGTTTTATGTGATACTGTTTCCTCATCACAAACAGATCTGGAGTTGTGTTTTGTTTCATTCGCTCACTTCTTCGAGTTCTTCTCTCTGACAAAAAACACGCTTTTTCTACCTTGTGATGTCATGTAATACAGGAAGTGCACTGTTGTGTTTTTAAACTCCACACACCTTGACTTATAATAATAATAAATAATAATAATAAATCTTTATTCTAGTGGGTATTTGTCAAAGAAAAGTAACAAACAAAAGCGATGAGCAAACTCAGAACTGAACATAACTCAAATCATCACTTTTGGGCACTTGTGGTTTAGGAAGAAAAACAAAAAACAATCAGTATCCATGGAAAAAACAAATCAATATCCATGACCAGAGCTGTAGTTCCAAGATTTATTTTCAGTTTTAATAATAAGAGGTACATGATCGTGGCCTATTCCTGCGTCCTCTCCTGTCGACTGGTAAAAAAAAACAACATAGGCCCATGTGACCAGGTGCACTCTGGTCTACGTGTATCACCCTCTTTTATCCTCTAGATGACCCACAGATTAAACCAAAAACAGAAAAGGTGCTCAAGGTAAATAGTACCAAATTAAACTAAATAAATTAATAAACATAATATTAACATAGCAGAAACATATTGTGCAAATGAACTAAACTCATTGAAATTCTAATAGTAAACTAATTTTAGAATAAATAAAATAAGCAAATAGCTCCTACATTTATTTATAAAGCACTTTTAAAAACGAGGTTTACAAAGTCCTGTACAAGAAGCAAAAAAGAATAAAAACAGCATCTAGAAAGCAAACAAAAACAGACAACTAAGCAATCAATTCAATAAATGATTAGGGGTGTGCAAAAATATCAATATATCGTACTGCTGAATGTGATGATACAGTATTGATATTGTGGCCTGATGTATCGATATATCACCAAGAGTATTTTTGGGTGTATTTTACTAAATTATTTTATGACAGCTACAGTTTTTCATGTTTTGAGGATTAAAATGTTTGTGTTTCATATGAACTTTGAATAAGAAGTAGTTTAACAGACTTTTAGTATCACAGCCATGATTTAGACTTTATTTTTTATTGAACCGTATTGAATCTTTTTGAAATATATCATATCGAATCGAAAGTGCACTGTATTGAGATATATATCGTATTGTGGCCTGTGTATCGAGGTATGTATCGTATCGGCAACTTCTTAATGATACCCAGCTCTATTAATTATAATAAATAAGTTAATAAAACAGAATAAATAAGAATAAAAAAGGTAAAGCTAAAAAACAGCTAAAGGAAGGCCAACCGAAAAAAAATTGTTTTAAAAAGTGATTTAAAAGATGATATCGTTTAGATGACTTGAATCATTTGGATCAGGCGTCTCCAAACTTTAGCTCCACCCCCTTCCAAGTATCTCACCAAAGGATTTCTGAATTATACATACTGAGCTGAATAATCGAGCTGAGTTTTGGCTTAATCATGTGTCGTGCTTTGTGTAGTAAACATGGGGCAACGAGAACATGATTAATACCTCACGACCAGCTCCTGACCGGCAACTGTAGGTCACAAGAATATCAAACCTGTCCTGAAATCCAGTCGCCTCTCGTGAGGATTTCACACTGTTGAAGTAGTTTGTACAGTGTGAGAACATGAATCGTGAGCTGTGAACTTTGAAACCCTGTGATATGGTCGTACAGTTTGAGCTGGGGCTGAGTGAAATGATCAGAAATATCTCACAGTGTACACCCAACCAGCATTAGACTTCCTATGGTTCTCATATTTACTCAGTTTCTGGCAATTGCTAAAATGAGTAGCTCTTACGTATTTTCGTTTTGTAAAAGTAGCTCACAGGAGGAAAAAGGCTGGAGACTCCTGATTTGGATTGTTTCAGCCTGTGGAATCACTAATCTCTACTGAACAAAAGGTAAAAGGTAGATCAGGGGTGTCAAACTCAAATTCACAGAGGCCAAAATTAAAAACTGGGACTAAGTTGTGGGCCAAACTAAATATTTATTGGAAAATTTCAACAACAGATATATAATGTTAAACCTTTTTTCTTATTCAAATAAATGTTTAATAATAGTTTTGCTTAAACATTGAATCCAGAACAAGCAGAATATAGAATACACAATTTAAAATAAACAATATCTCTATAGTCTATCTGTAGTCAGTGGGCAGCTCTAATACAGATTTGATATGATCTCGTGGGCCAAATATAATTATATCGTGGGCCAAATTTGGTCCCCGGGCCTGAGTTTGACTTGTCTGAGGTAGATAAAACTAACACCAGGTTCGACCGAGTCATTGTTTTGCAACTCTCAAGTCTCTGACCTCAAGTCCGATTCAAGTCCCAAGTCAAATACAGGCAAGTCCAAGTCAAGTCCAAGTTGTCTGCTTTGAGCTTCAAGTCATTTCAAGTCTTTAAACCAAAGCAGCTTAGACTTTTGCAGTTTATATGATTTTTAAACTAAATTGTACTTATTTTATTTATTTATTTATAAGGGAAGCCCCTTGAGATGTAGCATCTCGTTTGCGAGGGGGTCCTAATGCATTAACAAAAGCAGGATTTACAGAAGAGAAAACAAACAAAAGACAGATAAAGACAACATTCACACAACACACAGACAACATTCATACTATACAGTCCAGGATCCTAAGATATACACACATCTATGTGATTTTATCATCACCACACTTATATTTGTAAATGAGTGAAAAAAAAAAAGCATCTCTATGTGCAACAGAAAGTACATAGAACAAAAATGTATTTTTATCGAAAACAGGAGCAAGGTGTTTGTAAGTGTCTGAAGACTGACGCCTTAAACTGGTGGATTGATATAATTGATCTTATTGAGGAGGGTAAGTTGTTCCGTTCATTTGGAGCTTTGAAGTTAAATGCTCTTCGGCCAATTTCTTTTTTTATTATAAGAACATTAAAAAATAATTGTTCAGTGTGACGTAAATGATATGTTGATCTAAATGGAATCAGAAACTCTTTTAAATAGGGTGGGAACTTTGAGTAATAACATTTAAACACAAGTTGCAGAAAGTGTAAGTGTCTTCTGGATGTAACAGAGAGCCAGTTGAGTGATGAAAACATCTGACAGTGCTGCGTTCTATAGGGACGTCTTAATACAAACCTACATATACTGTTATAAATGACATCTCACATTCGAAGGTTAGATGCTGAGGTGTTCTGGTAAATTATGTCTGCGTAGTCGAGTATTGGTAGAAGTAATTGTGAGGCAATTCTTTTTCTGACAGATAAAGTGAAACAGTTAATGTTTAAGTACAGTATCCTCAGCTGATTAGAAACTTTCTTTGTAATTGAATCTATGTGTAAGTTCAAATTTAATTGTGAGTCTAAAACAAGACCAAGATATTTAAATTGGTCAACTTTTACCATTGGGGTTCCATCAATAAAGTTAATTACATAGTTGTTGCTATCAGCACTATTTTTGTAATTAAATAGCATATGATATGATTTCTTCATTTTAAGGAAATGTTTGTTACTGGTGAACCATTTTTGAATCAGAGTAAAATCTGACTGTAGTTTTCTTTGAATTTGGACAATATCATTACCTGAAGAATAAATTACTGTATCATCAGCATAAAGGTGAATTTTGGATTTAGGACAAAACTTACAAAACTTAAACAGTCATGGTATATGTAGTATTTATGGAGTATTTATCTAAGACTTGTAGAAATGCTCATTTTTCCTTTTTAAATGTCTTGACCAGAGTGCAAATTATTAAGTTCAGATTTAAGAGTGTTTAATAACAGTTCATTTGTCAACTAGTCTAAGCTTCAAGTCTTCTCAAGTCCAGGTCAAGTCCCAAGTCACTGACCTTCAAGTCCAAGTCAAGTCCAAGTCGTCTGCTTTGAGCTTCAAGTCATTTCAAGTCTTTAAACCAAAGCAGCTTAGATTTTTGCAGTTTATATGATTTTTAAACTAATTGTACTTAAAAAGTCATGGTATATTTATATGAGTATTTATCTAAGACTTGTACAAATGCTCATTTTTCCTTTTTAAATGTCTTGACCAGAGGGCAAATTATTACAGTCAGAACAGAAAGAGTTCAGATTTAAGAGTGTTTAATAACAGTTTATTTGTCAACTAGTCTAAGCTTCAAGTCTTCTCAAGTCCAGGTCAAGTCCCAAGTCACTGACCTTCAAGTCCAAGTCAAGTCCAAGTCGTCTGCTTTGAGCTTCAAATCATTTCATTTATTCAAACCAAAATAGCAAATGTAGGTTAGATTTTTGCTATTTATATGATTTTTAAACTAAATTGTACTTAAAGTCATGGTATATTTATATGAGTATTTATCTAAGACTTGTAGAAATGCAATTTTTTCCTTTTTAAATGTCTTGACCAGAGTGCAAATTATTACAGTCAGAACAGAAAGAGTTAAGATCGAAGAGCGTTTAATAACAGTTCATTTGTCAACTAGTCTAAGCTTCAAGTCTTCTCAAGTCCAGGTCAAGTCCCAAGTCAATGACCTTCAAGTCCAAGTCGAGTCCAAAGTTTTTGTCTATTTTATCAAGTCAAGTCCCCAAGTCCTAAAAATAGTGACTCAAGCCCATGTCATGACTTGCAACTCCTCACCTCTGACTAACACTATTTGACATTTCAAGGAGGAACTGAGCATTCTGAGCTTTGGACATGTAAACAGACTAATAATAAAAAATTACTCAAACATGTGTGAATGAAATGAAATGAAAGTAACAACATTTGAACACGACTCAAAGCTCACAAGAGTCGATTTTGTGTAATATTGGAGCTTTAATGTTGGAGCTGACCCCGTTAAAGCACAGAAGGAACTTTAATCTGTTATGGATATAAATTGCTTCACAAAACACTAACCCAAACCCTCTGGCCGATGTGTCCAGCTGTCAAACCTGCACAGAATAAAAGCCTCTTCCGCTCTAATATACAGCTTTGGACCGTTTGCCTTTTAGATTCTAACGAAACTTTTATATCAGCATCTGTTTCAAGTGCCGTGTGTGCAGAATAACCTACTTTTACAAGGATTCTGACGTCAATGCTTACGGCAATTCTTCACCAAGATGAAAAAAAGTGGGTTTGAAGTTGCATTGCGTAACTTTTCAAATGCTTGAGATGTTATTGCTTTGTCTGAAATGTTTCACAGTATGGCATTAAATCTCTCTATCATCATGGAGACCAAACCAGACCAAGTTACAGATCAGATCTGTGGAGAGGCGACCTGCTTACAGTCACAATGTCTGTTTTTCTAGGTATTTTGGAGTTATAAAACCATCTGTAATAGAATAAATGTAAAGCAGAGCTGTTTAGAGTCACACTGTGGAACATTCCAGGCAGAGCAATGACATCTCCATAGAAACAAGAAGGTGATGGACCCATAAACACACTTTATTAATTTTAAAGTTACAAAACATACTCTTAGATTTAAAATAAAATAAATGAAAACATACAAAATCAAAAAAATAAACATAAAAAAACAACCTGGGACCCCTCACTACATAAAGGAAATTGATATCTGTAATAATTTCAAGTTAAAACTACACCACTGCTGTCTCCACAGAAATGTTTCTCTTATTTCTTATTTCTTATCTATTTACTTGTAAAGGGACAGTGCATATTGATGAACATTAAAAATGTAAATATGTAAAGATTAGAGCCAGTGATTCTGCGTGATTCGTAAACATGGGGCCGGGGCCCAAAGTAGGGCCTGGACCACCTCCTCGAGGGCCCCACAATCAGTACAATATGATGCATTTAATATAGATAAGGCCCCAGGTTACTTTGTTCAGAAAAAGTCGGGCCCCAAGATTGAAAAGGTTAAGAAGCCCTAATCTACAGGACACAGAAAAGTACAACAACAATCACACAAAAGTACAGAAAACCAACACACTCAAATTTCAAACAGTTCATTTGAAGTTCAAAGTCAAGAGTTTAATAAATCTGCTGAGACAAGGGACACAGGGCTCAAAACTGGGACTGTCCCGGGGAAACAGGGATGTCTGGTCACCCTAAACTAGACATATTTGGGTTTGGGGATTTGAGTGGTTTGTATGTTTTTGTATCCAGTTTTTCTTTTAAACTATGGACCAAATAATATTTGAGTCTGAAATAAAGAATAATAAATATACTAGGGTGACCAGATGTTGTTGTTTACCTGGGACAGTCCCAGGTTTGAGCCCTGTCTCCCCTGTCCCAGCAGATTTATACAAAACTAGTGATTTTTCCCAGTTTTATACAAGAAATATCCCAGATGTCTCTATTTTTGACCAGTTTGATCTAAACCAAGACTAAACTAACTAGCCTCGCCCCTCTGCTACATAAGTCTAAACCAGGACTATCACAATTTCTGCCCACAGTAAAGAGGAGCATAAATTGTCATTTGTTTTGGCAAAATACAGAAAACCGTTTTACAAATGATCATAAAAGCAAAAAAAAATTAATTAAAAAAAATAAATTAAAAAAAAAAAAGCAGCGACAGAAGTTCCTCAAATCATGAGTGGAACAAGAATACACAATGTTGCACACTCTTTTCACTATTTTATTTACACCAAACATCCCAATCCCAGTGTGTCCCAGTTTAGAATTTTGAAAATCTTGTCACCCAAAAAATATATTTACTGTATGTGTAATGCCATAATTCGGAGCATTCCAAGTGGAGCAAAATAAACTCATATGTCATAAACTTTCACTTTCACTTTTAAAACTTGGGTAATCATGTATTTTCTGAGGAACATATGACAACATGTGACAACACAAACCTTTACAAGAATAGAGTAGTTTCCCAATACAATCTGAAAAGAAAAGAAAACTCTAGACCTATAATCATCACGTATTATTCATGAATGCAACTTTTTACGGCACAGTGAAGAGTTTTAAGTCTCGTCTTAAAACACACTTTTATCTCTGTTTTTTTAACACCATGTAAGTTGTAAGTATTTACTGCTATTTTATTATTTTTATGGTTTTATGATTTTTATTTACTGGTTTTATTGTTTCAGGACTGATAGGACCAAATTTGAGCAGTTTACCTTTTTGTTGTCTTAATTTTATGACAACAAATTATGTCTTCATTTCATTCTCATTAGTGTTTATTTTGTACGATCATAAATGATAAACTTTTGTGCCTTCTTTATCATTATTATAAGTTTGTACAACCACAAATGAAAATATATTTGTGCATGTATGTAAATGTGTTTATGCATATGTATGTGTGTATGTATGGGTATATGTATGTAGTGTGTGTGCGTGTGTGTGTGTATGTATGTGTGTATTTATGTATATATGTGTGCGTATGTATGTATGCATATATGTATGTAGTGTGTATGTATGTATCTATGTATGTATGTATGTATGGGTATATGTATGTAGTGTGAGTGTATGTATGTATGTATGCATGTGTGTCTGTGTGGGTCTATGTATGTATGTATGTGTATATATTTATGTATGTATGTGTATTTATGTGTGTATGTATGTCTGTATGTACAGTATGTGTATGTATGTATGTATGTATGTATGTTTGTGTGTATGTATGTACAGTATGTATGTATGTATGTACATGTATGTATGTATGTATGTATGTATGTATGTATGTATGTATGGACAGTATGTATGTTTGTATGTTTGTATGTATGTATGTATGTATGTATGTATGTATGTATGTATGTATGTATGTATGTATGTATGTATGTTTGTGTGTATGTATGTACAGTATGTATGTATGTATGTACAGTATGTATGTATGTATGTATGTATGTATGAATGTATGTATGGACAGTATGTATGTTTGTATGTATGTATGTTTGTATGTATGTATGTATGTATGTATGTATGTATGTATGTATGTATGTATGTATGTATGCATGTATGCATGTGTCAACCACTTGTTAAGGTAAAACAATTGGGGTAGGACACAATAAGTTTTTTTAGACTTCAACCTACTCCTTTGTTTGTAATGTAATTTACTCAGACAAAAATAAAAATGACTGAAAAATAAAATAATTCGTATGATCTCTGTGCAGCACTTTATAAACTGCTTTGTTTGTAAAATGTGCTGTATAAATAAAGTTTTGGATGAACTGCAGCCTACACAAAGAGCACATGCAATAAAAATAAAAAAACTACATGATTAAAAAGTCTTCTTAAATTGTGTTTTTAGTGGTGAACAACAGACATGGGAGGGCAGCATCTCACATCGGTCCCTCTCGTCTCTCTTTGACCCCTGCGCCAAGAAGAAGAAGCACGTTTGCGTCGCGTCGCGGATCGGGCACGCACGCCTCACGCACGCTCTCCCCATCAGTTTGTGTGTGTGAACAAGACTTCCGGTGGTGTGTCATGGCGGTGGCATGGTGAATCCTGCAGAAAGGGAAAAATCCTCGTCCCTCCGTTTCTCCCCCGTGGTTTTTGGACGCGTTTGGATGCAGGAGTGAGCCGTGTGCGAGTCGCGGCCGCTTCGCTCGCTCGCCCCCTTCACTCGGCGGCGCTATGGCGGCTCACAAGCCCGTGGAGTGGGTGCAGGCCGTGATCTCCAGATTTGATGAGCAGGTATGGAGCCTAATATGATTCAGTGATGGGTGTAGCAAAGCAAAGCTGCCTGGGACTCGCTAAAGTCTAGGCGTTTCGCTCCGAGGCGGGGTTTAGCCGTGGATCTCGTCTCCTGTCACTCTTTCTGTTGTTAAACGCTTAAACGATCGCATCTAAATGTAATTATTTCGCGTTAGACAAAGGACAGCGGGTAGATTCGTTTTGTTGCACGATCTTACAAGTAGTTAAGAGTAGAAAATGAGCCAAATCTACCGCTACAGTCACCACTTCTGGGCAAAATCCACAAAAACACTCGCCAAATCTTAATCATAATCACAGTCAAGGCAATCGATCTCTTCCTGTGTCAATCTCAAACCTTAACGATAACCGATCTCACTGCCACTGCTTGGATTTATTGTGAAAACGAGCTAAAATAAGCTACAATATCCTAAGAATCGCGGACGTTTCCCTGTAAACCATGCCCACCCGGACGAAACGCCTTGGATTTTTGGTCCCGGGTGTGTAGCAAGCTGCACTGGACTCCGGGCCCCTAGCAGGAAAGCTAACGCTACATCCAATGCTCGTTTACTGACAAATAAATTCACACAATATTACCTCTGATTGTACATTTTTCCTACTTCTTTGCCCTTAAATGTCGCTTGCATCTTCCCCCCGTGTCCCGTATCTACAGCGCGGATTAGCCCGACTAGCCCACATCTGTATAGCATTGGCTTTGTCCTGACTGACTTCACCAGGAATAACACATGGAGCTTGGTCTAAAAAAAAACAACATCTTTAATCGTTATGAAGTGGTGCAAAAGTGTGTCATTTGCACGTCATGTTGTGAATCATGTCAGCTAAGCGGCTAACTCAAGCTAAGGCCTATTCTCATTAATGTAAACAAATAGGATGAGACCAGTGCCCGATCCGTTCACAACAAGATCTGGGTTAGCATCGTTATGTTGCTGTATTAAATGACCAAATGCCTTAAAAGGTGCCCAAAACGAACTTACATTTTAGTTTATAATATTATTAGAAGTTGCCATACTTGATAATTCAAGAAAACTATGCAATTTCTCTGCTGCTAACTCCATTAAGTAATCACAATGTAATGTTATCTAGTATGTATTATAGACCTGGTTTAGGCCTTGTTTAGTCCTTGTTTAGTCCTGGTTTAGTCCTTGTTTAGGCCTTGTTCAGTCTTAGTTTAGACCTGTTTTTTTGGTTTATTTTACTGCAACTTTTGTGAGGTCTTTCATTCTACAGTGGTTCTACAGTGATTCTGAGGTGCTTTAAACCTGGTATAATCCGAGGTTGGACCTAGGTTAGTCCTTGTTTAGTTCTGGTTTAGTCCTGGTTTAGTTTTGGTTTAGACCTGGTTTAGTTCTGGTTCAGACCTGGCTCAGTTCTGGTTTAGTCCCGATTTAGTCCTGGTTTAGTCTCCTGGGTTAGACCTGTTTTTGTCCAGTTTTATTGCAACTTTTGTGAGGTCTTTTGTTTTACAGTGGTTTATTTGAGGTGCTTTTAGACCTAATTTAATCCTGAGTTACACCTAGGTTAGTTCTGGTTTAATCTCCTGGTTTAGTCTCCTGGATTAGACCTGTTTTTGTCCAATTTTACTGCAGCTTTTACAACTTTTTACTGAGGTCTTTTGTTGTGCAGTGGTTTACCTGAGGTGCTTTTAGATGTGGTTTAATTCTGAGTGAGACCTAGGTTTGACCTGCTTTAGTCCTCTTTTTGACCTGGTTTAGACCTGGGGAAGACCTGATTTAGTACTGGCTTAGATCTAGTATATATTGTATTTATTTATTACAAGTAATCACAGTGTAATGTTTTCTAGTATATTTTGTAGTCCTGGTTTAGTCCTGGTTTAGTTTTCTGGTTTTAGATCTGTTTTAGTCCAAGTTTACCACTTCCTTTCGTTCTGCAGTGATTTATCTGAGGTGCTTTTAGACCTGGTTTAGACCTGGTTTAGTACTGGCTTAGATCAAGTATATATTGTATTTATTTATCACATTCATTTGACAGTAATGTTGCCTGTGTTTTTGTTAATCAGACATCGTGTTGTCATGATACTAAAATTCATTTCCGATACTAAGGAATAAACTTTATACTCAATACCCATTCTGATACCATGATATTAATAAAAAACGTGATTTTCAACATTAAATCATAGTACTTTCTTTTTGTGGCCTTATATGTGTATAATCCCTCAGTGGTCCAGGACGTGGAGTGGTCCATGGGCGTATACTAGTCTATGTGCTCTTATACTTGTTCTGTTTCTGTAACTATTTTCGATACTAGTTTTTGTATCAATTCGTAACCGATTTTTTATACTTTTAACATCCCTAGTTCGTCCTGTTTTAGTCATGATTTGGCCAAGTACGTTGAGTTGGCATTATGTGTAAAGCTTTGCCTTTTTTTTTGCAGTTTCCGAAGCAAAATCCAACATTTTTCAATATTTACTTCTTTTAGTTTCAGTTCTGACCTGGGCTACATAAAGTGACAGATTCCGGAGTTGTCATTTAAAAGTCATTACGTCGTCTTAACCGTGTGTGTGGAGTTAAAGGGGGATTTCGCATGGTTTAGTGGCTCTGAGCCGATTATTACTGTTACAAGAAAGCAGCATTAGAAACTAGAGCCACTTCCTGATTATTGTTTCGCTAAGTCCATTAAACAGGCACCGTATGAGAAAAATGTGAATGATGTCGAATATAGCAATTAAAACCGAAAGTGGATTTTTGAGGCTATACCTGGTTTCCTAAAGTGCTGCTAGAATAATTCTTTTTGAGAACTGTGCTGTGGGCTGTGAGTTCTGTAAGTCAGTCATTTGTCAGCTAATCATGTTATTTAGGTTTTATTTAGATTCCTATGAGAAAACAGCAGAAAGGAGAAGTGAGGGAGCGAGTTCACTGAAGATGTGGTGTGTTTCGGTATTTGTAAAAAGTCAGATTGAACTCATGATTCACAGTCTGTCTTCATATAAATACATTGTTTCCCAGTACTTTTTTGATACTGATACTGCAAAATTGCTGGATCGGGTATCGGTTCCATGATATTGATTCAGTCGATGTCTTAGTTGGGCCTTTATTTGGATGTAATAAGCCTCTTGACAGGCTGTGTTGGCCTAAAACGTCTCCTAATGATGTTCACTACTGTTCACTAGTGATTTTGAAGGATAAATAAAAGTTACAGAACATAAGTGGGTTTAGTTTTTGTTTAGTCTTGGTTTAGGCCTGATTTAATCTCCTGGTTTGGACTTGTTTTTGTCCAAGTGTACTGCAACTTTTGTGAGGTCTTTTGTTTTGTAGTGGTTTAGCTGAGGTGCTTTTAGACCTGGTTTAATCCTAACTGAGACCTGGTGTAGTCCTGGTTTAGTCCTGATTTTGTACAGGTTTAGACCTGGTTTAGTTCTTGGTTTAGTCCTGGTTTAGTTCTTGGTTAGTTGTGGTTTAATCTCCTGGTTTAAACTTGTTTTTGTTCAAGTTCACGACAACTTTTGTGAGGTCTTTCGTTCTGTAGTGGTTTATCTGAGGTGCTTTTAGACCTGGACTGAGACCTAGGTTTGTCCTGGTTTAGATCTGGTGTAGTTCCTGATTTAGTGCTGGTTTAGACCTGTGTCAGACCTGATTTTAGTCCTGGGTCAGTCCTGATTTTCGTCCTTTTTTAGATCTGGTTTAGGCCTGGGTCAGTATCAGACCTGATGTTTGATGCATTTTTGTTGTTTTCTCACCACTAAAGATTTTAAAGTCAACTGTTTTATTGAAATTCTTGGTCGACTATGAACACACGTGCTGCCCATCTTTTGGTCGACTAAAAAAACGGCATGACAAAAGCTCTCAAAATTATTCCGTATCTCTGTATCTGACCCAAACTGCACTTCTAAGACTACACCTGTGTCTAGAATTCATGCAAAACATCAATTTATGCAAAAAAAAAAAAAAGTACTAGGAAACAGTGATTTTAAATAAAGACAGATTAAATGTGTGAATCATGAATTTAATCCGCCTTTTTACATATAAATACCTTCAACTTTTCAGCTAACTAACGCACTTCCTAACTTCTCGCTGCTGTTGTTCCATAGAAAACCCAGTCTAAATCAAACCATCGGCCGATTAATATAAATTTTTGAATGATTAATTGAAAAAAAGGAGTACGAAAGCCTCTAGCCCCAGTGTGTAGTATTGTTTTTCCTGTTTCCTTGTGTGTGGTATAGTGGAAAGTGACTCGCACAAAGGCCCCAGTGACACAGGCTCGGACATAGACCCGACTGTTGTTTGGTTCATGTGACGCTGTGACAGGACTCCTTCACTCCCACAGTTTTCCAGAAGAACGTCCACGCACTTCCTCTCCCAGAAATCTGCTGCGGTCTCTTATTCAAATTAGGAAATACAAAAGTCCACGCTGAGTACTTTGCAATAGTTTTAACCTCGATTTTCGGCAAACTCCATTCAGCAATCGCAAACGTTTTGATTTGGCGTCCCGTCCCTGCTTGTTTCTATGGATACGTCATTGCACTGCCTGGAATGTTCCACCGTGTGACTTTAAACAGCTGTGCTTTACATGTATTCTATTACAGCTGGTTTTATTGCTCAAAAATCCCTAGAAAAAACAGGTATTCTGACTGGGATTGGGGTCGCCTCTCCACAGATCTGACCTGTAATGTGGTCTGGTTTGGTGAAGATAGAATGGTTTAATGCCATACTGTGAAACATTCCAGACAAAGCAACAACATCTCCATGGAGAAAACCATTTGACCAACCCTCCGCTGGAAAAGTTACACAATGCACCTTTAGTAGAGATAGTGTTTTGTCATGATACTAAAATTTATTTTCGATACTAAGGAATAAACTTGATACTCAATACCAATTCTGATACCATGATGTTAATAAAAAAACACTCTTTATTTAGACAATAGGTGAGGTTTCATTGCTGACAAAAGCGTGCGTTGCATGCTGGGAATTATTTTGGTCGGCGGCAAGAAACACTAATTCAATATGACGGACGGAGCGAGAAAGCAC